GAGAGAGAGAGAGAGCGTAAAGGGGCAGGGGCCTATCTTTTAAAGGGGTCCTCTGCACCTGCGTGCTGACTTCTTTCCCATGGAACCTTGGGCTGACCAGGGTATTGCCTGAGTGGATTCCACCAGGTAACAGGGGCAGGCCAGCATAATGCCTGAACCTTTCACTTAATCCCCATGACACCTGTGATCACGGGCAAGGCACAGACTGCTCCCTGGCACATCACTGACAGCTAACAGAGACAAAAGCAAGTTCCCTCTTACAGGCAGCTCCCATAACTTATACAGCCCCAAGGCCTCGGCTCCTTATTTTGTAATGTCCTTTAATCAGATTTTTTGCCCACCTTGCTTGTTTGCTGATGTCACAGATGTGGCATCAAATGGCTTTGGCTTTGGTGTAAGAGACAAACTTTCTAGAAATCAGTGCATGTTTATTAGGAGGAAAGCTCCAATGTATTTCTTCCCTGCCACCCTGCGCTGCCCTGTTCTGCAGCAAGATGTTTCTTTTCATGCCCTCTCTCCTCTCTACAGTCTCCTCTACATTCTCCTGGGGCATTGCACTGGCACCCCTGTCACTGGTCTTCCTGGTTGTGGGAGGAATCTGGATGCACAGACGGTGTAAACAGACATATGGACTGACCAAGCTACGGACTGACAACAAGGACTTCCCTTCCAGCCCAGACCAAATAAAGGAAATGAAATAACATAAGGCTGACCTGTGGTGTCTCTTATGGAAGTAGCTGTGCCGTTTATAGGTTCTGATTTTCCCTCTGTTATTTAGCAACGCTCCTTGTTTGTAGCCCAAGTTGGAAGAGCACACTCCACACTACTCTGAAAATCAGTTTTGGGAGAAAATGTGCAGGGGAGTGGGAGCAGCCTCTCCCCTTGTGGTCCATGTATGAAAACAAGGCATGTGGAGCCATGGAGGTCTTGTGGAGCACATATCCTCTGGGCCTGATCCCCTAGTACAGTAATGTTCTTCCTCAGCCCTCCAAACAGCTACCAAAGCAGGAGCCATTAGTCTTGAATAAGACTGGAAACCCTCCAGAGTACTTGGAAAGTCCATCCACCCTTTTAATTAAAGTGTGCGAAAAGTTTGTTTGATTAGGCCGATGGGAGATACTGGGGGTGCAAAGATGCTTAAGACACAATGTACCTTTAGAAAGGGCGATTTTCCTTTGCATTCTGGAAGGATGCTTTAGAAACACAGAAACAGAAGAGTCAGCAAGGATTAGTGATTCAAAATTAGCGATTATCTTTTCATGGCAGCTGAAAACCACCATAAGAATCCTCAGCTAGTCAAAACTGCAGAGAACAGCTGCCTGTAGAGTGTCCATCTCCAACTGATACGTCTACAACACAACTCATCTCAGAGCGGGTGTGAAGATAGTAAGAAGCAGAAGCCCAGAACTCTGCTCTGGGACAGTATCTTTTAAGTATGACAAGAAAGTGGCACCTATGAAATATAAAAATTATCATTTTTTAAATAAGACCTGAACATGGCAACATCAGTTGATAGTGGACATTTCACAAGTCCCTGTCCCTAGATAAAGAACTACAGCTAATTAATGGCTTCTGAGGGAGGGAGAATCAGTCTTCTCTAGGGCTGAGCCCCCAGTAGGTTATTCAGTCCCAAGTGGTCAGCTCTGAACACATGTACATATGAGCAACACTAGATGGACTCAGCAGGTTATACATGCGTATATGCACACACATATGTATAATAAATGAAAACTTAGGTCATGAACTTGAGAGGGAGTTGGGAACACGGAAGGAGTTGGATGAGGGAGAGAGTGGGGGGTATGATGAAAATACAATACTCATATGTGAAATTTTCAAGCAAATGTAAAACACAAAAGAACAGCAAAATGGAGCTTGCTTAAAAAGTCACTAATTTCTTTCACAAACAATTGAGTGGTTTGAACTTTAATTTTAAAGTTATTTAGTGTAGAGGCATCTTTCTCAGTACGTTTTGCTACTGTCTTAGTTTATTGCTATGAGAAAACCTAATGACCAAAAGCAATTTGGGAAGGAAAGGGTTCATTTGGCTTGCAGGGTAGAGTCCATTACCAGGGGAAGCCAATGAAGGACTCAGGACAGGAACCTGGAGGCTGCACATGAGCAGAGGCCATGGAGGAATGCTGCTGGCTTTTTTTTTTTTTTTTTTGTTTGATCCTTAGGCTCACATTTAGCTCCCTTTCTTTTTTTTTTTTTTTTTTTTTAGAGGGGGTTTCTCTGTATAGCTTTGGAGCCTATCCTGGCCCTCGCTCTGGAGACCAGGCTGGCCTCGAACTCACAGAGATCCGCGTGCCTCTGCCTCCCGAGTGCTGGGATTAAAAGCGTGCACCACCAACGCCCGCCCGGCCTTAGCTCCCTTTCTTATACCTCCAAAGGCCACCTGCCCAGGGATGGCTCCACCCACAGTGGGCTGGGCCCTCCCCCATCAATCATTCATCAAGGTATTTGCCTACAGGTCACTCTGATGGAGGCATTTTTTTTTTCAGTAGAGGTTCCTCTTCCCAAATAACTCTAGCTTGTATCAAGTTGACAACAAACAAACAAAAACAAAAACAAAAAACCCCAAACTAACCAGGATAGCTATTGTAGCAAATCACAATAAATGGGGGTTGCTTATAAACAATGGGAGTTCATTTCCTATAGTTCCGGAAGTTGGGAGTTCAAGATCATGATGCTGGTGCTTCCTGGATGGCAGAGAGCTGCCCTACAGAACAAGTTCCTTCAACACCATTAGGTTGAGGGTTAAAATTTCAACATAGGAATGCCAGGAAGACACAAGCAATCTAGTAGCACCCACACCCTTGTCAATGAGCATGGGTAGGAGACACACAAAGTGCTTGTGTCAGTGATCATCAGATGTAAACTTTGAGTTACCTATGCGCTCACACCCTATCCGGTGTTAATGAGTAAGATCAAGGCTGTTTGCATGCAGGCACTCCAATACCCCATAGCTCCTTTAGTAATAGGAATAGGAAAAAATAGGAATAGGAAAAAAGCAATAATGATGAAGCCAGTGAGGTGCTGGGGTCCACTTGAACATGTTTCCAAGAACCAAGTATCTCTTATCTTTTCTTCTCCATGATGTCATGTTGGTAATGGAGTTTATCTCACCATAAAACATGGCAAGTGCTACAGATGAGCACTTCCTTCTCCTCCCCAGCTGCCACAAAGATTACACAAGGTCAAAGAGGTGACAGTAGTGCTACTCTTAGCAATTTATCTCAAGCAATCCTTTGAAAAGGAATTGAATAGAGATGTACAATTGAGTGTCCTGATGATAAAAAATTATGCATCGATTATCAGTTACAATTGCCCATATTGTAAGACAAAGAAAATGTTAATGGAAAATTATAAAGTATTTTGACTGATGGTCAGAATCTGAAATGGTTCTTAGCCTCTTAGTTAAAGATTTAAAAGAAGGCTACACATAGATTTGCCAAGATAGCAAGGAAACTTTACTCGAAGCAGATTGGTAGCATAGATCAGTGCTACACCGTTAAGATTGACAATGGTAAAAATGAATGAGGTATTGAAAGGCCTGACTATTTTCCCAGGACTTTCCTGTATGGGATCCAAAAGAAGGGGAAATTTGGTTAGTAGGGCTTAGTTGGAGCAATTCTCTATTTTGATTGACTGGTTATGTTGCAAAATGACTTCTCTTGGTATGTCTCTTTCCATAACACATCTGATTATAATCATATGCACATCCAATTACACATATTCACAAGATGGTAAACAGAGGATTCTTCCCAGGAATTCACTTAGGGACACAGTTTTACATTGTTACAAAATGAATCCAAGACCCATCTAGGCTGGATTGGCTTTCTACCTTCATACCTAGACATAAGGAGGGCATGACTGAATAGAATCTAAGTTTGATGGTCAATGAGAGAAGGGAGAACTCCATTGTTCAGAATGGGGTGTGCACATAGCTTGATTCAGGCTTGGCTCCTATGATGCTGAAGGGTTGATAGGTGCATTGTTTGGAGTTGGGTGTGTGCATAGGCTGAACCAAGTGGAGTTCCAGGTGACTAAGTTATTCCCCACGCTTGACTAAGTTATTCCCCATGCTTGACTGCCTTAGTTACAATTAAACTGCATCTAGACAAAGATGAAAGTTGGAAATAAGGACTTGAAAGAGAGCTATCTGGGATCAAGCTCAAGCAGTGACTTGTGTTAGCTTTGTGATCCTGGGAAAACCCTTTAATCTTGCTGGCTTCCACCTTTCCCATTTGAGAAGTTGGGATGATAACAAAAACTCTATTAACTATCTAGTTGTATTTTGTGTATTTATACTTTTTCTTTTTTTAAACGTAGAAGTCAAACCCAGGAAGCCTCAACAGAAATTGAAACAGCTGCTTTGTGTAGGCCACACACAAGCAAACCACAGCTTGAGCAGCTCTAGTCTGCCTCTGGTTTCTGTACATCACTTTCAATCAGAATGTAGCCATGCCTGCATGTTTATGGATCATCACTGGCTGTCTTTGCTCTTTGCAGACAGAGCAGCTTGAACAGTAAAGCCTGAAATATTTGCTATCTGGCCCTTCACAGAGAGAGTTTAACAGTCCCTGATTGGGACCAAGGAGAACCAGGACCCATTTTGACCTTTATTTTGACATTTCCCTGTTGTTGTTGCCTCTTGCCCTGCCCTCTGTTTTTTAACCATTTGAGAGGGAGAAGAAATTGACAGAGGAAGCAGATGACCTTGAGCTTCTAGACTTTCCCCATGAACACATGACTTAAGATGGAAGGACCAGGCATGGCATCACAAGCCACTGGGGCAGCAAGGTCTTGGGTTCTATGCCTTTCATTAGTTCCTTCAGCTCCCTGGGTCCCCAAATGCTGATTTTGGTAGTTTCAGAAATGATCCCAGAAAAGAACCTGACTGTGACAAGAAGGAACTGCCAGCTAGTTTTCAGACTCACCTTGTCTGTGCCTTGGACATACTGCTGTCAAAGTACGCTTCTGACGCCTTAGAAGACTATGAAATGGGGGCTCTAAGCAACTTGTATTCATGTCAAAGAAGAAGCATGGTGAGATCAATACATTATAAGGAAAAAGGGCTGTTACTTTTTTAAAAGGCACAGTGCATTAAGGGCTGTATCTTATATGGAAGAATAAAAGAAATAAGATTGACCATGTGGGGCTAGAGAGATGGCTCAGAGGTTAAGAGTTAAGAGCACTGCCTGCTCTTCCAGAGGTCCTGAGTTCAATTCCCAGCAACCATATGGTGGCTCATAACCATCTGTAATGAGATCTGGTGCCCTCTTTTGGCCTGCAGGCATTTTTGCGGGCAGAACACTGCATACACCATAAATAAATAAATCCTTTTTCTTTCTTTTTTTTTTTTTTTAAGATTGACCATGTGTTAACAACTTATGTAACTGGTTATAGTTTTCCTGGGCTTTTCCATGCCATCCTGTCTATTCTTGTATAAGTCTAAAGATTTCCATATTGGAGAATAAAATACAAGGTACAATCAAAGGGGTATGCAGTAAGTTGCATGGTGGGCCTACATAATGGGAGAATAAAGAAGCCACTGTAATAAATAAATGGCATGCAACAGTATCATTGGGTCTTTGAAGTATGTTAATGAGTGAAGTTCAGGAAATGTTTACTCCCACCATGCTGCCCTTCTAGGGAAAGCAGGAAAAATGAAATTGGACATTTGTGTTCTCTCTCTCCT